AAAAAAAATTAGCTGGGCATGGTGGCACATGCCTGTAGTCCCAGCTACTCAGGAGGCTGAGGCAGCAGGATTGCTTGAGCACAGGAGATTGAAGTTGCTGTGAGCTAGGCTGACACCATGGCACTTACTCTAGCCTGGGCAACAAAGTGAGACTCTGTCTCAAATAAAAAAAAAATAAATACTTGGAAGGCTGAGGTGGGAGGATTGCTTGTATTCAAGATCAGCCTGGGCAACACATTTCTACTACAAAAAAAAAAAAAAGAAAGAAAGAAAGGAAAATTGATATTTGAGAATATATGTCTGACTACAGAGATAGGGAAGCACATATTCACAAGTTAAGGTTCTTAAACATTAATTTTTGAGGTTAAAACTTACTTAGCTCCACACACAAAAAAATACCATCATAGGCCAGTGCTGCCTTTTTCTACTCCTCCATTCATTCCTAGGGAGAGAGGCAAAGAATGCAGGTACTTCCAAACAGATGTTGTATTCATTTGTTAAACCAACATTTGGTGAGTACCTACAATGGGCCAGCTGCTGTCTTGAGTGCAATATAAAAACAAATAAGATACTGTCCTTGCCCCAATTTACAGTCTAGTCTAGTCAAATATACAGACTTGGATAATGTGCCATATAGAAACAGGAGCTCACTTTTAATGTTACATCGCAGCACTACTAGAAACAGAACATGAACCACAGATGTAAGCCACATACATAATTTTTTTTTTTTTTTGAGACAGAGTTTCGCTTTGTTGCCTAGGGTAGAGTGCCAAGGTGTTAGCCTAGCTCACAGCAACCTCAAACTCCTGGGCTCAAGCAATCCTGCTGCCTCAGCCTCCCAAGTGGCTGGGACTACAGGCATGTGCCACCATGCCCGGCTAATTTTTTTTATATATATTAGTTGGCCAATTAATTTCTTTCTATTTATAGTAGAGATGGGGGTCTCGCTCTTGCTCAGGCTGGTTTCGAACTCCTGACCTCGAGCAATCCGTCCACCTGGGCCTCCCAGAGAGCTAGGATTACAGGCGTGAGCCATCGCGCCTGGCCTCACATACATAATTTTTAAATTTCTAGCAACCACATTTTTTAAAATAAAGTAAAAGAAACACATAAAATTGCAATAATATACTTTACCTAATATATCCAAAATATTATTTCATGTAACTAATAAAAATTGAAATGATTTACACGGTTTGATACTGCTTTTGAAATCTAACATGTATACTTATACTTCAGAATATCTTAACTCGAACTAGGCACATTTCAAGTGTATCAGCCAACAGTTATGTAGCACAGACCTATTTTTTAGAAAATTGAAAATTTGGCAGTTGCAGGTATGAGACAAAGTAAGATAGCGGCGAGAGGCTTGAACATATTCACAGGTTAAAGGAAAAGAGAAAGAGAACAAACATACGGATGATAATTAATGGGGCACATGGAGAGCAGGATGAAAGAACAGACTCAAAAGCACAAGTGGACTGGTTAGCCTGGAAAAGAGGAGGCGTGCATCTTCCTTATAACAGGTGGAAAGAAGAGAAGAGTTAAGTATAGATATAAGCAAGTTTGTTGAGTGAGAGTAGGAGAGAGAGTAGAAAGCTGAGGGAGCTCAGGTTAAACCTTTCCATTTTTCTCAAGTCACTCAGAATACAATCTTAGCAACCTTCATCCACCATCACCAATACAAATCTGAAGGCACTATATTTTATGGAATAATTTAAGAAAGTTATCTTAGCATGACATATTGTGTTTTTGTATAGTGACAGTCATTTTCCAGCTTTTTTTCTGGGCTAGTCGATCTTGAATTTTGTCACTTTATCTCTAACACAGAAACAGACTATAGCTTGATTTTCTTTCCTTACCTATTCAACAAACATGTACCCAATGTTTATTCTGTCAAAGGTGATACTGACCTTCATTTGTATAGCCAGTATTTAGCTTATTTTAATACCAGCACGCAGTAAGTGCTTTAAAAATGTAGTACCACATTGCTCTATAAAGAAATATGACAGGAGCAGGGTACAGCGGTTCACATCTGTAACCTCAGCTACTTGGGAGGCCAATGCAGGAGGATCGTTTGAGGCCAGGAGTTGGTGACTACTCTGGGCAATACAGTGAGACCTTGTCGCTAAAAAAATTTTTTAAAGAAATATTATATATTAATTAAAATACATATCGCCAAAAACTTTCACTTAAAGTCTAAATCACTGCTATCCAGCAGAATTTTCTGTGATAATGAAAATGTCCTATTCTGAACTGGACAATATGATAGCCAACAGCCACATAAATTTAAATTTTAATGGCCACATGTGGTTAATGGGTACAATACAGGTCTAAATATTAGAATACAGAGAGTAGCTAATGGCATTTCCACTATTATAAGGTGCTGTTATCTCTAACGAGTTAATATATAAATTATAATGCTGAAAAATACTAACTGTACCAGAAAGACACCATAAGAGAATTTTTTTAGCAAAAAATAACTTTAACATTGTAAGCCAAAAAATAACAAAAGAGAAAGAAAAAGAGAAGAGAAAAAGAAACTCCAATCTTTTCTTTTTCACCCTACTTCCCCAATGGAAAAGATCAATCTCTGTCAACTTTTTGATTTTTCTCATTTTGTCAAGCAGTGAAAATATTTTGTGGAGATAAGGAGTCAAACTTTTTAAAACATTATTAATAGCTGTATGCTTGAGGCCAGAGGAGCAGGCACTGGCAGTGGGCAGGCCAAAGGAGCCACCCAGTCAGAGACTGTTTCTTATTCCAGCAAAAGAAAAAAAATATATTAATAGAAAGAAATTAGTAGAGCACAGGAGCTGTTTCTGTAATGAAATGACAAACTTTTTTTTGATAAGACAACATAAGTAATTGAAAATCAGGATTCATATAATAAACAAAGTATGCTTATAACTCCCAACAATTTGCAAATCTTTGCAATTTGCTTATCAATTTCCCCAAATTTGTCCCATTTATCTGAATTTTAAACCCATAGTTAAAAGACATGGTGATTCAATTCATTGAGCAAATGTTACTATAATCTAAACTAGACTTTTTTTTGAGCTGAATAGTAACTAGAATAGCTATTTATGATTGGGATGGTAAAATAAACTTTCATTACTCTGTGTATCCACTGTCCTTAATGTTTAATTTAAATGGTCATACAAACTTAATCAGAACTACACAATCCTGGCACAAGTCTGGATTACATACTTAGAAGATCTGATAACTTAAAACCAGTGAGGTGAGCAACTGTATGTCAAAGATAGCATTTTTATACACAGCAACTTGTTCAACTCGTTAACCCTTCCAGTAAGGCAGCTGCCTTGTAAATTAACCGCACAACTTCCGGCTCTTCCTTTCAGTTAGGTTCATTTGAAGCCATTTTTAAAAACATTACCAGATTTTGTCTTGAAGATGAGAGTGGTTATACAACCAGGATTTTATTCAGGCTAACAAAAATACCTAACACTAAGAAACAGTGTCTTAATCTATTAGGAAAAGCTTTAAGAAACCACTTTAGTATTATCTTACTACCACACAAAAACATCAGGCAAATAAGCTCTCTATAGACACGAAGATTTAGCATATCGAAAGCATGAGATCAGCTCTGTAATAATTAACTTTCTGAGTCAAATTACTGTGATAGGGCTTATTGCAACAAAGCCGAAGTATTACAACAATACCAAATTATAATGACATCATTAGCTTGATTTCCTAATAAAGCATTTATCTGGGATATGTGAATTTACAATTAGCTAAAAATAGAGAGCCAACATTTGTAGGAGGGAGTGGTAGGCCATTCTATTTTATTTATAAGATTTTATTTTTGAGAATGATGCCCACTGCAAAATGAAGTTAACAGAAGCTTGGCTCTGAAACACCATACTTCTTAAACAGTAAAATGCTTTTCTAGAGCAGAAGAAAAAAGAGGCATCAATCAATGTTTTAGTCCCACAAAGACAGTTCCTGCTCCACTAAGATTTACCACTAACTTTAGAATTAGTAAAGGAAAACACTGAATTGTAGAAGCATTTAATTAATTCGATTTATAAATTAAACAGTAAACAGAAATTGCCAATTTCTGTCCTAATTGTCACAGTTCTGTACTTCGCTGTGTACTTTCTGGGCTGTATTTGCGGGGAGGCAGTAAATATTTTTCTCTGAATTAATTCTGGGAAAGATGGCTCTTTTTATAGGCCTTAAATCACCCTTTTCTAAGATTTTTTTCCTTCAGATGTTCTAGTAATACAGGAAAATGAACCACTGGTTCCAAATCTGTCCAGTTCAAGCTGCCTTGAGGAGAACCGGAAAAAAGTAAGGTTCACATTCCAAAAGTTTTACCTGGGGTTGAGGACAAGGAAGGAAGGAAAACTAGTCTTCACAACTATCATACTTATCTTTTTTCTGAAACCAGACGGAGAGTTGGAATATTATTTCTCTCATTCAGGTGAAATTCCTTTCGCTGACAGGAATTAGACTAGATAAGGTACCCTCTTCCTCGCTAACCAACACAGCATAGAATCGTGACACTCTTCTAGACGACCGGGGGCTGTAGACAAGTTCCCCTCCCCTTCAACCAAACGTGTCCCAAATTATCAGAGACAGGAAACACAAGCCTCTTTAATCTCCCCGAGGCCTACTCTCCTTCAGCTCCCTCTCCCTGGTTCCTCAGGGGGCACAGCCACCCCGCTCGGAACCTCCAATTCTGGCCGCGGCCGCCCCGGAGCAGCAAGCGGGAGGAAGTAAGAGAGAAGCGCCGGCAGGAAGCGGCCGCCTCCCGCCGCTCGGCGCCAGCCTCGGGGCCCGGGCTTGGAGGCGACACTGGCGCCGAGGCTGTGCGGGCTTCTCCGGCTCCGGACTCCCGGCCCGTGCCCGCACTCTCCCCTGCTGCGGCCTAGCCCAGCCCCCGCGCCCCGGCCTTCGCCGCCAGCCCTTCCCCGCCACCTGGACCAAGAGGCCGCGTAGGGGTGGCCGCGCGGAGGTGGAGGAGCGGAAGCACCTACCAGCTGCTGCCGGACCCAACGCCACATGCCCTTGTCGTCGCCGTCCCGGCCCCGCGGGGCGCAGGGGCCGAGGGGCTGCAGATGGAGGCGGACAAGCCAGAGGGGGGAGCGGGCGAACCCCTCAGGCTGAAGTTCCTCTGGTCGCCGCCGCCGCCACCTCACTCCCCGCGCTGTGCCCCCATCCCGCCGCGCCGGCCCGAGGTCCTACAGGCGCGGCCTTGGCGCCGCCCACGCCCGGCGCAGCTGAGCTTGCCGCCGAGCCGCAGCCACCTTCATTATTGACCGTTGTCACCCGAAGCACCCCTACAACCCCACCTTCGCCCTGCCCGGCCCCTGGCCCCACCCGGGTCCGCCCCCGGCACCCCGGCCCGCCCCCGGACGTGACGAAAACGGGTGGTAGACCGAGGGGGTCTGGGCGCGCACGGCTGCGGGTCAGAGTCAGGGGCGGCGGCGCGGCCGGGGCAAGGGCGATTGTGGAAAGGTGCCGGGTTCTCGAACGCGGCTTCTGTCCTCCGCTCCCACCCGCCTTTCTTGTGGTGGAATTAAGATGTGTCTGAGTCTGCCGGTCTCCGGAGACTGCAGCTTGTGGCCGACTCCTCTGTCTGTACCTCCTGTTGCAGGTCTGTTTCTGGCTCCCCGCCTTCTTCAGTAGACGCGTCCCCCAACACGCACACACACAGACTGGAGTGTATGTGACTGAAGGTTAATCCCCAGAGGTCCCAGTTTTGGTTCAATTAAATTGTCAAAGCTTTTGTCTCAACACATAACTCAGCCCTTTTCCTTAGGAGAGGACTGAGATGGGGCTAGGGTAGTCTGAATCACTCCCCTTAAATAATTTTGAAGGGCTGCAACTTCCTTTAGCCTGCTCGACTTGTGTTTCATGGACAATGGGTGCTATATTCTGTCTGTCTTCCTGTGCTGAATTGGACAGGTGAGGGGGAAAACAATACGTTTTACGGAAAGTAGTTGTTTATTGCTAACTGCCAAACTCCTGCATTCAAAAACACCCTAGAAGTAGCTTGACGTAGGTAAGGTAAGTGTGTGAATGACGAGGTAAGAAGGAATATGAAAGCAACTAGGGCGACGCATGATGGCTCAGGCCTATAATCCTAGCACTTAGGGAGACTGTAGGCCAGGAGTTGGAGACCAGCCTGAGCAACAGTGAGATCCTGTCTCTACCAAAAAAAAAAATTTAAAAACAGCCTAGCATTGTGGCTCCCACCTGTGGTCCCACCTCCTCTCCAGGCTGAGGCGGGAGGATTGGGAAGATTGCTTGAGCCCAAGAATTCCAGGTTGCAGTGAGCTATGATGAGGCAGCTGCACTCTAGCCTTGTGGACAGAGTGAGACCCTGTCTCCAAAAAAAAGAAAAGAAGAAAAAAGGCTGGCTTTGTTTAAAATCATCTCTATATACAGGCTATCTTGTGTTACGTATATATATTGAGTGCAGTATTGTAACGGCATTAAAGCACACTTCAACAGACGGAACGTTTGTGGTGGTAAAAAAAAAATTAAGGATAAGCAAATCTAAATGAGATTAGCATGACTAGGCAAGTTGTTGCATATATACTCAGTCTTGTCGTTTCACTAGACATTACTTATTAGATATAATGATTATCCAGCACCACAAATAGAACCTTTCTTTAAGGATATTTATGATATATAAAACCAGTAGTGGCATTTTATATTTTAAATCACCAAGCTTCAAAAATAGATATTTAAAGAGAAAAAATAATATTACTTTTGTTCTTATGACTGAACCTTACTTTATGACCCAAAAAGGAAGTTTGAGATACATTTACTTATTTGTCATAGTGATAAAATATTATTGCCATTCATGGAGCACTGTGTCTGTTCATGGAGCATCCAGACCCTGTATCAAGCTCTTTACTTAGCATGCTTTAATTTAACCCCTCCCCAAGTAGGTAATATTATTCCCATTGTGTGGATGCAGAAATGGAGGCTCAGGTTAAGTGACTGGGAAAGCTACAATTCAGATTCTGGATTGTCAGGCAACAAAAGTCATGTTTTTAAGCTATGTCAAGAAACAAAAATAGGACTATCCCTATTTTTATTCATATGCAAATCATTTGATTACTAATTAGGCCTGGAAATTTTTACTTATATGCCACTAAAATTTGTCAAAATAACATAAGAAATAGCAATCTAGAGGATACTTTGTGCATCATTTTTTAACTGTCACAAATTGCAAAAGCAATAAGTTGTGGGGAGGAGTTGATTCTAAGTGCTATTGTTTAATATGGTAAGAAGTGATCTCAAGGTAACTATGGAAAGGTCAAATTGAAGTTCAAACTGTCAGGAACAGAACGAGCAATCCAAGCAGTATTTTGTTTTAAGCATTTTTCAAGGGTTATATTATATACCTCATATTGATACAAGGAGCATAAGATAGAGTATTTTTATACTATAGTTATAACCCTGTAGTTGTGGTGAAATCAATTTGCTATGATCAGTATTTTAAAAAATAGAATAGAAAACATCAGAATACATTGCACAGGGTAAGTACTCATATGTATTGTTTTGTGAAATTTTGGTTTCAGTTGTCCGCGCGCACACGCACACACACACACACACACACACACATCAGGTAACAATATAAAAGCAATTTCTTTCTGTTGGTTGTGGTTGGAAAGGTTGAGATGGGAAAACACATGACTTAAGAAGGCAGGCAACAACTGTAAATGAGGGAAAAAAAACATGATTGGAGTCAGGGGTAACTCATTCATTCCACAACTATTTATTAAAAGTATTTGAACATCAAATATATGCATAGCAACTCCCTAAAACTAGAAGGAGACACAAGAGTAACTTCTAAGGTGAACCTCTTTCTCTGGGTAGATTTTACAGTCTAGTTGGTAAGAGAAGTTGCATAGGAGAATCAGTTAAATAACAATCCAAGTCAATATAGGATTATGTCCTAAAGAACTATGCTGACAATAAGCACTAATTTCTGAAAATTGATATGGGCAAAAGCAACTGGGGAGAGCTTCAAAAGGAGCTGAATTTAAACAGAACATGAAAAGCGAGGATGAAGGGAAAGGTTTTCCAACAGGAAGAACTGCAGGAGTGAACACTCAAACTGTTGAGGTACAATTAACTTGGTGTGATGAGATGTGGGGTTGGATAAATAAGAGGAGGCATAGTATAGGGAGAGTTTCTGTCTGGCCACAAGAGTTTACAGGAAATGGGCAATCCCTGGAATTTTCTGAACAACTTAATGGCAGAATGAAATCAGAGTGTTAATCCATAGACGCCATATGTGATAGATTGGAGAGAGAAGAAAGATCATGTAGGAAATTATTGCTAGATTGAAACATTAAGTTGAAAAATGCTGGACAGACCAAGAGCCAGAAGTGGCATGTTACAGGAAGTTTTGCCAAGGTACAAGGAAAGATGAAACTTAAGCCATTCTGAGTGAGGTGACAGACCCTCTAAGAGAATAGGTTTACCAGCATCACATAACAGCCCCTGAATAAATGTTAAATGTGATTCTTTTTGTTGAGTAAACTTGTTAATATAATTCTGTGCTAGTTATACTTGTCAGACATGTTAATTCCCAGGGGTAATAAAAAAAAATATCCTAGTTTTGTGTAATAGAGATTCTCAGGCATAACAGAAAAAACAAAGAGAGATATTTTTCTTGAGCAGAACATCTTTTGCCATCAATAGAAAGCACAGACTGTAAGCTTGTTAAGATTGAGACTTGTGGCTCATTCATTTTGGTACCTATAGTGTTTAAAGAATACTCAATAAATATTTGTGAAATGAATTAATAAATTAAGGCCAATGACTGAATAGTTAGGGGAAAATATCCAGTTCAGGAATATTAAAGAGATACAATAAATGACTTTAGTACAGTAAGACCAGTGGTCACCATCCTTTAGGTCCAGGACACTCTCCATTGTGCCTGCCAGAACTCTTCAGAGGTCAGTCTGCTTGGAGGACACTGAACCTTGCCAATCTGTTGCCTTGATTATTTCTTATCAGATGGGCCCCAGAAATTGTTCTATCTCATTTTTTAAAATGGCAACTTTTCATTTCCTCAAAATCATAAATCTAGTAGATTATAAATTATTCCACTTAAAAAGCAGTTTCCTTCTGATTAATTATCATTTCAAAATTTCCAGAGCAGATTTTAGGCAGAGAAAAAAACAGACTTTAGGCATGCTTTTCTAGTACTGAACAGCAATATATATATTTTGTCATCTTGTGAAGAATTTTATTAGAAATATCTCATTACATATTTGCATCTTTTCATGAAAATTCTTCAAACATATATCAGTTGTGAGCTGTTATAAGAGCTCAGTTTTATTTTTTAGCTATTTATGCTTATACAGAACTGCAACTCAAAACCAATGTAAGAATTAGAATTCATAAAAATAACCTCTTTCTTGAAAGGTGAGAAAGTATGTAAAACATAAATATATTCTGTACTTCCCTTCTTCCTTATTTTAGAGTTGACTTTTAATAACTTGATACTACCTTAGTATAAACTGGATATGGTATTCTATTACCTCTCTTGTAAAAACAGAATGAAAAATGAATGAACTTTGTTGTATATGTTTTTGACTTAGAGACAGAAGCAGATTAAGGCCACGAGTGGTGGCTCAAGCCTATAATCCCAGCACTGTGGGAGGCTGAGGCCAGGAGTTCAAACCAGCCTGGCCAACATAGCGAGACCTTGTCTCTACAAAAAATAAAATTAGCCAGGCATGGTGGCACACGCCTAAAGTCCCAGCTACTAGGGAGGCTGAAACAGGAGGATGGCTTGAACCTAGGAATTTGAGGCTGCAGTGAGCTACAACCATGCCACTGCACTCTAGCCTGGATAATAGAGCAAGATACTTCCTGCCTAAAAAGAGAGAGAGAGAGGGAGAAGTAGGTTAAATAGACAAATGGCCTGTGATTTAATTACTGACAGAAGTATTGATGGCCTTAGATCAGCTGCAGCAAAACAAATTGTTAAAACTACTATTGTTAGCCGGGCGCGGTGGCTCACGCCTGTAATCCTAGCTCTCTGGGAGGCTGAGGCGGGCGGATTGCTCGATTGCTCGAGGTCGGGAGTTCGAAACCAGCCTGAGCAAGAGCGAGACCTCGTCTCTACTATAAATAGAAAGAAACTAATTGGCCAACTAATATATATAGAAAAAATTAGCCGGGCATTGTGGCACGTGCCTGTAGTCCCAGCTACTTGGGAGGCTGAGACAGAAGGATCGCTTGAGCCCAGGAGTTTGAGGTTGCTGTGAGCTAGGCTGACGCCACGGCACTCACTCTAGCCTAGGCAACAAAGCAAGACCT